CTAGAACTCACTTCCGGCCTCGATTCTTTGATAGCTGTAACCGTTTTTCCAGAATCGACGGTTGAAATATCGAAATTTTTGAAAATTCGATAAATTAGGCATTTCGTACCGATGTTTTCGAAAATGTCGCTCCGCGACCATCAACAGCCTATATTTTTGGAATCAGCACGTCGAGATCTACGTCCCTGAATTTTTTCAGAATTTTTAAACGATTTTTTCAAAAGTGAAAATTTTCCAATGGTCCCCCCTTCTTCAAATTTCGGCCAAATTTTGACATTTTCGAAACCTAACTGAGTACATTTTCTTGTAGATTTCGAGCTCTAGAACTCACTTCCGGCCTCGATTTTTTGATAGCTGCAACCGTTTTTCCAGAATCGACGGTTGAAATATCGAAATTTTTGAAAATTCGATAAATTAGGCATTTCGTACCGATTTTTCCGAAAATGTCGCTCCGCGACCATCAACAGCCTATATTTTTGGAATCAGCACGTCGAGATCTACGTCCCTGAATTTTTTCAGAATTTTTAAACGACTTTTTCAAAAGTGAAAATTTTCCAATGGTCCCCCCTTCTTCAAATTTCGGCCAAATTTTGACATTTTCGAAACCTAACTGAGCACATTTTCTTGTGGATTTCGAGCTCTAGAACTCACTTCCGGCCTCGATTCTTTGATAGCTGCAACCGTTTTTCCAGAATCGACGGTTGAAATATCGAAATTTTTGAAAATTCGATAAATTAAGCATTTCGTATCGATTTTTCCGAAAATGTCGCTCCGCGACCATCAACAGCCTATATTTTTGGAATCAGCACTTTTTCAAAAGTGAAAATTTTCCAATGGTCCCCACTTCTTCAAATTTCGGCCAAATTTTGACATTTTCGAAACCTAACTGAGCACATTTTCTTGTAGATTTCGAGCTCTAGAACTCACTTCCGGCCTCGATTCTTTGATAGCTGCAACCGTTTTTCCAGAATCGACGGTTGAAATATCGAAATTTTTGAAAATTCGATAAATTAGGCATTTCGTACCGATTTTTTCGAAAATGTCGCTCCGCGACCATCAACAGCCTATATTTTTGTAATCAGCACGTCGAGATCTACGTCCCTGAATTTTTTCAGAATTTTTAAACGACTTTTTCAAAAGTGAAAATTTTCCAATGGCCCCCCTTCTTCAAATTTCGGCCAAATTTTGACATTTTCGAAACCTAACTGAGTACATTTTCTTGTAGATTTCGAGCTCTAGAACTCACTTCCGGCCTCGATTCTTTGATAGCTGCAACCGTTTTTCCAGAATCGACGGTTGAAATATCGAAATTTTTGAAAATTCGATAAATTAGGCATTTCGTATGGATTTTTTCGAAAATGTCGCTATGCGACCATCAACAGCCTATATTTTTGGAATCAGCACGTCGAGATCTACGTCCCTGAATTTTTTCAGAATTTTTAAACGACTTTTTCAAAAGTGAAAATTTTCCAATGGTCCCCCCTTCTTCAAATTTCGGCCAAATTTTGACATTTTCGAAACCTAACTGAGTACATTTTCTTGTAGATTTCGAGCTCTAGAACTCACTTCCGGCCTCGATTCTTTGATAGCTGCAACCGTTTTTCCAGAATCGACGGTTGAAATATCGAAATTTTTGAAAATTCGATAAATTAGGCATTTCGTACCGATTTTTTTGAAAATGTCGCTCCGCGACCATCAACAGCCTATATTTTTGGAATCAGCACGTCGAGATCTACGTCCCTGAATTTTTTCAGAATTTTTAAACGACCTTTTCAAAAGTGAAAATTTTCCAATGGTCCCCCCTTCTTCAAATTTCGGCCAAATTTTGACATTTACGAAACCTAACTGAGTACATTTTCTTGTAGATTTCGAGCTCTAGAACTCACTTCCGACCTCGATTCTTTGTTAGCTGTAACCGTTTTTCCAGAATCGACGGTTGAAATATCGAAATTTTTGAAAATTCGATAAATTAGGCATTTCGTACCGATTTTTCCGAAAATGTCGTTCCGCGACCATCAACAGCCTATATTTTTGGAATCAGCACGTCGAGATCTACGTCCCTGAATTTTTTCAGAATTTTTAAACGACTTTTTCAAAAGTGAAAATTTTCCAATGGTCCCCCCTTCTTCAAATTTCGGCCAAATTTTGACATTTTCGAAACCTAACTGAGTACATTTTCTTGTAGATTTCGAGCTCTAGAACTCACTTCCGGCCTCGATTCTTTGATAGCTGCAACCGTTTTTCCAGAATCGACGGTTGAAATATCGAAATTTTTGAAAATTCGATAAATTAGGCATTTCGTACCGATTTTTCCGAAAATGTCGCTCCGCGACCATCAACAGCCCATATTTTTGGAATCAGCACGTCGAGATCTACGTCCCTGAATTTTTTCAGAATTTTTAAACGACTTTTTCAAAAGTGAAAATTTTCCAATGGTCCCTCCCCCCTTCTTCAAATTTCGGCCAAATTTTGACATTTTCGAAACCTAACTGAGTACATTTTCTTGTAGATTTAGAGCTCTAGAACTCACTTCCGGCCTCGATTCTTTGATAGCTGCAACCGTTTTTCCAGATTCGACGGTTGAAATATTGAAATTTTTGAAAATTCGATAAAGTAGGCATTTCGTACCGATTTTTCCGAAAATGTCGCTCCGCGACCATCAACAGCCTATATTTTTGGAATCAGCACGTCGAGATCTACGTCCCTGAATTTTTTCAGAATTTTTAAACGACTTTTTCAAAAGTGAAAATTTTCCAATGGTCCCCCCTTCTTAAAATTTCGGCCAAATTTTGACATTTTCGAAACCTAACTGAGTACATTTTCTTGTAGATTTCGAGCTCTAGAACTCACTTTCGACCTCGATTTTTTGATAACTGCAACCGTTTTTCCAAAATCGACGGTTGAAATATTTAAAATTTTTGAAAATTCGATAAATTAGGCATTTCGTACCGATTTTTCCGAAAATGTCGCTCCGCGACCATCAACAGCCTATATTTTTGGAATCAGCACGTCGAGATCTACGTCCCTGAATTTTTTCAGAATTTTTAAACGACTTTTTCAAAAGTGAAAATTTTCCAATGGTCCCCCCTTCTTCAAATTTCGGCCAAATTTTGACATTTTCGAAACCTAACTGAGTACATTTTCTTGTAGATTTCGAGCTCTAGAACTCACTTCCGGCCTCGATTTTTTGATAGCTGCAACCGTTTTTCCAAAATCGACGGTTGAAATATTTAAAATTTTTGAAAATTCGATAAATTAGGCATTTCGTACCGATTTTTCCGAAAATGTCGCTCCGCGACCACCAACAGCCCATATTTTTGGAATCAGCACGTCGAGATCTACGTCCCTGAATTTTTTCAGAATTTTTAAACGACTTTTTCAAAAGTGAAAATTTTCCAATGGTCCCTCCCCCCTTTTTCAAATTTCGGCCAAATTTTGACATTTTCGAAACCTAACTGAGTACATTTTCTTGTAGATTTCGCGCTCTAGAACTCACTTCCGGCCTCGATTTTTTGATAGCTGAAACCGTTTTTCCAGAATCGACGGTTGAAATATTGAAATTTTTGAAAATTCGATAAATTAGGCATTTCGTATCGATTTTTCCGAAAATGTCCCTCCGCAACCATCAACAGCCTATATTTTTGGAATCAGCACGTCGAGATCTACGTCCCTGAATTTTTTCAGAATTTTTAGACGCTTTTTTAAAATTTGAAATTTTTCAATGGTCCCCACTTCTTCAAATTTCGGCCAAATTTTGACATTTTCGAAACTTAACTGAATACATTTTCTTGTAGATTTCGAGCCCTAGAACACACTTCCGGTCTCGTTTCTTTGATAACTCCAGCCGTTTTTCCAGAATCGACTGTTTAAATATCGAAATTTTTAGAAATCTTCAAAAATTCGCATTTCGTACCGATTCTAGCGAAAATTTTGCTTCGTGACCCCAAACATTCTATATTGTTGGAATCAGCAAGTCGAGATCTACATCTCTGAATTTTTTCAGAATTATTAGACGCCTTTTTAAAATTTGAAATTTTTCAATGGTCCCCCCTTCTTCAAATTTCGGCCAAAATTTGACATTTTCGAAACTTAACTGAATACATTTTCTTGTAGATTTCGAGCCCTAGAACACACTTCCGGTCTCGTTTCTTTGATAACTGCAACCGTTTTTCCAGAATCGACCGTTGAAATATCGAAATTTTTAGAAATCTTCAAAAATTCGTTTTTCGTACCGATTCTACCGAAGATTTTGCTCCGTGACCCCAAACATTCTATATTTTTGGAATCAGCAAGTCGAGATCTACATCTCTGAATTTTTTCAGAATTTTTTGAAGACTTATTTAAAATTGAAATTTTTCAATGGTCCCCCCTTCTTCAAATTTCGGCCAAATTTTGACATTTTCGAAACTTAACTGAATACATTTTCTTGTAGATTTCGAGCCCTAGAACACACTTCCGGTCTCGTTTCTTTGATAACTGCAACCGTTTTTCCAGAATCGCAAGTTGAAATATCGAAATTATTAGAAACCTTCAAAAACTCGCAATTCGTAGCGATTCTAGCGAAAATTTTGCTCCGTGACTCCAAACATTCTATATTTTTGGAATTAGCAAGTCGAGATCTACATCCCTGAATTTTTTCAGAATTTTTTGACGACTTTTTTAAGATTGAAATTTTTCAATGGTCCCCCCTTCTTCAAATTTCGGCCAAATTTTGACATTTTCGAAACTCAACTGCCCATTTACTCTGTTACCAAGACAAAATTTCAACCACAAATGGCATTATAACTAAAAACAATAACTGTCTTATTGCGTCTTCCCGTATATGTATAGACGGTCACTTTTTTTCCAAGCATCTGATAATTAAATCCACCTACAGATGTAATGTTTTTTTTGTGAGCATCCTTTTTAATGGGGTGGATGGATATGTTTTCTTTTGTCAGTCTGGATTTTCTCGTCGTGGGAAGAGGGGGTGGTGGGCGGGGCGTTAACAGAGAGTCCGGTCAATTTTAAGACCATTTTATTGGCTGAGGCATTTATTGTACATTTATAATTATTTACTGTTATAATAATAATAGGTATGTATCAGGATAGATGTTACCCCATACTCTTAGAGATGTCACTTGGACACTCTGCGATCTGTAAATAGCGCACCTCCGATTTCTAGTATAGTACATCGTATCGTAATATATTGTACATCATACTGTTTTTAAATAGGCTAATAGTAAAATATACTCATTTACACATTAATAAGGTAGCGGTTCGCGGGCGGGCCGGCGTCGGGGCCGGGCCGGGCCGGCGGTGTACGTCTGCGTGGGAGACGACCCGGCGTCTTTGAAAAAACTATGACAGGCGCAGAATGATCAGTCAACGAATATCTATTTTATTTTCTTCATTTATAAAAATATTTAGGCCGTCAGTTTCAATAAGTGTTAGAGTCGCCGGCGCGGCTCCGGTGGCGGCGCGCCCGCCCGGTTTCGGGTCAATCATGGGTGAGAGGAGTCGAGGATGAGGAGCGGGACTTTTTGGTTGCGACAATTTCACTAGACTAAGTGCGGAGGGGGCGGCAAGACGCGGGGGACGCCCGGGGGCGGGCGTCGCCGGTGTCTTGCGGCGCCGGTTTGTGCGTTAGTGCATGGTGACATCTATTATAATAGAACACATGTACCAAAATTTAGAGAGATCAGTGCAGATTTTCTTGTTATTATAAACATTCATATGAACAGTTACTACTTTAGTCAAAACTAAACACGTAAAAAATAAATATCTTCATATTTTATAGAATATATTTTTATTACTTTTTAATTTATATTATAATTTATGTGCAGGTGCCGTGTCGGGACTCCTTAAATGTTACACTAACCCGGTCGGGGTCCGAAAGCATTTTTGAAACCTTCCACAACTTAGCGCTTATAGTTTTGTACAAAAATAATTGTTAAATTAGAGCGCGTCGCGTCCTAACGCATTATATATTACTTATGTTCAACTTAAACTACAATACAGGAACTTGGACTAAAAATTTCAAACGATGCTTTCTCGAGTTCAATAATATAACATTCAAAAATTACGTTTCAAATCGCTCGTATTGATCTCGAAATTCGACGAAAGTGATTGTGTCTCTTTCACTAATAGATTTCAAAAAGTAACTTTCAAATTTTATATGACACACAAGTACGATGATAATAATTATTGCAAGTTACACTTGATATATGTTGTTTATTACTTTGGTTATCGTTTACAGACTAGAAATTGACTAGAATAATGAGAAATCAGCTCCCTCTTGACCAACGCAAAACGAAGCGAAATCAACGTCGTTGAGCCGGCGCACGTACAAAAATAACATTTAGTTTAAATTTAAGGAGTCGGCCGATTCTATAAATATTGATAAAAAGTCACACACAGTTAAACATTAGGAGAAAACACTGTAAAGTTTCAGTGGCAGGAATATATCACATTAAAAAACTCGGCTTTGCCGTTACTTCACATCACTTCAGCGCTGTATAATCGTGCACTTGAGAAAAACAAAAACACAAAGAAATGAATTAAACCAACCAACGAAGGAACGAACGAACGAAACGAAAAACTCCAACACATACGACGAAGGAAAATTGGTGCATTTAGTGCTCTCGTGCAGCAGTGCAGTTCTTAGTTTCTACGTCAGGAACGATTCTTTTTGAGAGTGCCCGAAGAACCCTCCGAAGAAGAGACGTTCTCGGGCGATAGGAAGGATCGCGTGGATAAGGAATGTGGAACATTAATGCCTTTTGACCCTGAGAAACAACTAAAACCTAATCATATCTTTTGCGTATGTGTGTGTGGAAAAATAATTTCTTTCGAGGGTCCGAATTTCCCCTGTTTGGTTGTTTGCATGGCTGCAAGCGTTCACCGTTCTGGCAGTTCTCTAGCTCCCCATAACTCATCCATCGCTTATACCTTTTTCTCCCGATGATTAATCGGGACGTGTATCCCGAATTACGGAGGTTATTGACTCGCGAACCGCTTCCAGTTGTTTTGAGTTCCAGAATCGATTTCCACACCGGAGACTGCTGTAAACACTTGCAGCCACGGAAGTCTACGTATTCAGCTACAAGCTAGGTTCGTAGGCCGATGCTTCTTCGTTCATATCGAGTCTTAAACGAAAAATGTTTTCAACGGAACGCAAACTGATCCAGAGCTCTTTTTCTTCTTTCGGTTAGTAGATTAAATACAAGGAAACTAAACTCAATTAGCCGACTCTAATGTCTCGACTCGTGCAGCCCAAGAAGGATATTTTTCAGGACGACCTTGCGTAGACCACAGCAATGAGTACAAAAATAAATCGCTTTTATCGTCAGTTCTTCATAAGCTATACGCGTTTTTAGTTATTTTTCTTTTTTAATTATTTAGTAACAAACTGCCTCACCAGTTAAACTTACGACCTAATTTTTCGGTTTTCTCGAGACGAAAAACATCCCTCTTTTTGACGCTTCCGCTACGAATCCGGCACATTCTGGGGGAAAAACATTAAAACCGTTGTTGGGAATCCGTCGACTACTGCCTTTAAAATGTCAGTTGATGGATTTCGGTGGCTCAGGATGACGCGGAATCATCGCCCGATACCATTAACTGACACACGTCCTTCCCTTCGTCCTCGTCGTCTTTTCGTCCTCGTCTGACGCCTCTCGCGTAGCGACCGGTTTCCGAACGACGGCCCAGCCTCCGTGTTTTTGCCGCAGAATGTGCTCCTTCGCCCTCAACAAACTCCTAACAGCAGCCAGTTGTCTATAAGTGCGTAATTATAAATATATCTTACATCGAAAGCATGATTCTTCAATAAATATTTAGTCGTACAATGCCACACTTAGTATAATAGACTACACCTAAGTATCATTTTTTTTTTTATATAATTTTCTTGGTTTCTACATGATTTATTATAAGTGCGTATAGTGGCTGGCGTTGAGCGTTTTGGGGCTTTCCGAGTGCTCTCGAGCTCCTTCCGAACGATCTAACGAGTCGAGACTGGTCACAATATAAGTCTCTCATACTTTCTTTTTTTTTTTTAGAATATTAACAATATTAACAGTGATAAATTTGTAACAAACAGGCTTTAACGTATCATTTATCTTCTAAACAATTTGATTGACTTTCCACACACCACCAAACGAGCATCGTTTGGCGCAGTGTCGGATTTTCGGGAAAAGAACCAACGCTACAGAGCACCAACTACCGGTCTGATCTGCAAGAAAACGGGGTGTAATAGAAGGAATAAAAGTAGCTAAGGCCTTCTTCAGACGTCCGAGGGAGGTTCAGTTGGAGAGGCTCCTAGTGGAATGCACTATTGGGAATGAAACTACACAGCGAGCTGCAGCTTGACGGGACCCACACACACAGACCACTATTGTTGAATGACTTATTCTCTTAATGCTTCCGAGTCAGATTTTTTGTTGTTGTTGTTGTGTTGTTTTTTTTGGTGAGCAAAGTCCCCTAGTACTCCATCCAGTGGTGTGTCGTCCGCGGCTGCTACTTGCGAAGTCTTTTAACTCTCTGAAGTATACGCTAGTCGGTGGGCGGAGGTGGGGCGGTGAGGAACGCGCGGACCTGACTTCGGGCGTCCCCCGACCGCCCGGAGGCATAGGGGGTTAACGTCCGCGCGCCCACCGCAGAAGCGCGTCGGCTAATACGTCCAGGTGCGCCTTCGTCTGCAACAGAAAAGACAAACTCGATCACAAGAACAAACACCAAAAAATAATTGCTTAATTTTGTTTTTTCGTATTAGAAATTGCTAGTGCGCGATGCAGCGAAACTCCGGTGTGCAAGCATGACTAACGGCCGAGAAATGTGGGGAAGAGTGTTGTAATGAATGGGGGCACCCACGTCTTAGACAGGACGACGCCCAGACGCCGACGTCAGGGCCAATGTTGGGAGAGACGTGGGCGATAGATGTGACTAGTGGTGCTGGAACCATGTCAACAGACACACGAATCCTCCTATCTCGCCCTCGTTTTCGCTAAAGTCATCACTACCGAGAGACTCCCCCGCGCCCCGGAAACGACACGCAAAAACCTATTTTCACAGAAAATGCTAATGGGAACTGACCCACTCCAAGACCTTAGGGGGATGGCCAAGGATAACGTCTTAGTGTGGCCGTATGTAACTGCACTTGATGCTGAGAGTGTGGTCTCCCGGAATTTATTTGAAGGGGAGATCGCTTGAGGAATGGTGACACCTAATGGAAAATGTTTTCGAGGGAAAAATTATCGACGTATTAGAAACTAACACAAGTTAAATCAATTTACCCAGAGATAAATAATCGAAAATAATATAATAATAATTTCATAGTTATGATCTGGTAGTCCACAATTCATTGGAAGTATGCAACCAGTGATACACGAAGGCTGTGGAAATTTTGGAAACTAATTCAATCAGTGTCATTTTCTCTTGTTGTGTAATAATTAATTAGTTTTACTTTTATATAGATTATAAATCTAGTCAGATAAGGTAGTTAGCTAGGAAACAGTGGAATATAAATAAGACAGATTTTTGAAAATAAAACATAGCGCTGCGAACTCTAAAGAACTAAAGAACAGTTAAGAAATTAATAAAGAAGAGAATTTATAGAAAATATTTACAATGGATTTTAACATGCCACAATTTAAGGCTTGTTGGCAACCTCAAGGAAAACTTTAGAATTTCCAAACAAAAAATTGAGAGTTTTTTTATGCAATTGAAACCAGAAGTAAAGGAATGACTTTTGAATTTAATGGGTGCGCAAGCTTTAAAGTTATACCGGGTGTCCGGAAAATGGCGGATTAACTCTTCAGTACGTTATGTACGGGGGTTTCAGGAGTCCCAAAAAAATATTAAAACATTCTTTATGATGTAGATTCAGCCCCGTAGCTAGAAAACTTATTCAGGGGGGGCAAGTGTGTCGACAGAGGGGGCTTCATGTAAATATTTATATTTTAATAATACACTCAGATAACTACTTTATTTTTTCTGAGTTTTTGTATTTGAAAGAACATTAAAATAATTGGAAACGTCGATTTTTTACGCTAAATTTTCGTAAAAACCTGTCGAAGTCCAAAAAATTAATACGGTACTTGGTTAAAATGCTGGTTAAAACAGAGAATGTAGATTCACAAACAGCTGTACTGCATCCAAAAATTTGTGTAGTGGCCATATAGGTAACATCCAATTTGTTTGAGTTTATTTTTTTGCATGTTTAGTACATATTTTAAAAATCCGACTTCGAAACCAAATATTTCGAAAATTTTGGTACGGAACCATGAACTCGTCATGTTTTTTTAAACTCGTTGAGATGTGTATTTCAGAATTTTTTGTCAACTTTAACAAAAGCTCAATTTTTGGAAACCCATATAAAATTTTTGACTTTTCCCAAGCATTTTCGAAAATTACCAAAAGAATTTCTTTGTTCATCTCGATTTCTTCCAAAAATCGTTTTGGATTCAATTTTTTTGAAAATTCTTACATTTTTTGCAGAATCGACGGAAGAAAAATGGCAATTTTTGAGAACCTGTATCAAATTTTTGACTTTTTTCAAGCACATTCGAAATTACCAAAAGGGATTCCTTTATTGATTTCGATCTCCAGATGTTGTTTTTGGTTGTTTTTTCGAAAATTCGTACAATTTTTCCATAATCGCCAAAAGAAATATGGTAATTTTTGAGAAATTTTGAAAATTCCAGCTCGAAACCGAGTATTTCGAAAATTTTGATCCGGAACCTTGAACCTGTCATGTTTTTTTAAGCTCGTCGAAATCAATATTTCAGAATTTTTTGTCAACTTTTACGAAAGTTCAATTTTTTAAAACCCATATAAAATTTTTGGCTTTTCCCAAGCATTTTCGAAAATTACCAAAAGAGATTCCTTTGTTCATCTCGATTTCCAGAAATCGTTTTGGATTCAATTTTTTTGAAAATTCTAACTTTTCTCCAGAATCGACGGGAGAAATATGGCAATTTGTGAGAACCTGTGTCAAATTTTTGACTTTTTTTCAAGCACGTTCGAGATTACCAAAAGGGATTCCTTTATTGATTTCGATCTCCAGATGTTGTTTTTGGTTATTTTTTCGAAAATTCGTACAATTTTTCCACAATCGCCAAAAGAAATATGGTAATTTTTGAGAAATTTTGAAAATTCGAGGTCGAAACCGAGAATTTCGAAAATTTTGATCCGGTACCATGAACCTGTCATGTTTTTTTAAGCTCGTCCAAATCTATATTTCAGAATTTTTTGTCAACTTTTACGAAAGTTCAATTTTTGAAAACCCATATAAAATTTTTGACTTTCCCCAAGCATTTTTAAAAATTATCAAAAGAGACTCCCTTGTTCATGTCGATTTCCAAAAATCGTTTTGGATTCAATTTTTTTGAAAATTCTTACAATTTTTCCAGAATCGACGGAAGAAATATGGCAATTTTTGAAAACCTGTATCAAATTTTTGACTTTTTTCAAGCACGTTCGAGATTACCAAAAGGGATTCCTTTATTGATTTCGATCTCCAGATGTTGTTTTTGGTTTTATTAGGTTGAAAAGTCGTAAAATTTTTCAGCAATCGCCAAACGAAATGTAATTTTTGAACTTTGAAACCGAATGTTTCGAAAATCTTGATCTGGGACCATCTAGACCTTGTGTTTTTTGATTGAGCTCGTCGAGATCAACATTTCAGATTTTTTTGTGGATTTTTAGTCAACTTCAACAAAAGCTAAATTTTTGAAAATCTATAAAATGTTTATGACTTTTCCCAACCGTTTTCGAAAATTAGCAAAAGGGATCTCTTTATCGATTTCGATCTCCAAATGTTGTTTTTGGTTTTATTTTCTCGAAAATTTGTACAATTTTTCCAAAGCCGCCAAAAAAAAACGTAATTTTTGAGAAATTTTGAAATGTCGACTTTGAAACCGAATTTTTCGAAAATCTTGGTCTGGGACCATCAAGACCTTATGTTTTTGGATTAAGCTCATCGAGATCTACATCTCGGAATTTTTTGTTGATTTTTTGTTAATTTCAACAAAAGCTCAATTTTTGAAAATCCATATACATTTTTTGACTTTTCCCAAGCATCTTCGAAAATTAGCAAAAGGGATCTCTTTATTGATTTCGATCTACAGATGTTATTTTTGGTTTTATTTTTTTGATATTTCGTCGAATTTTTCCACAATCGCATAAAGAAATAACTTTTTTTTAAGTCACTTTTGAGATTTTTTAGAAATTTTAGGTAGAACCCAATATTTCGTAAATTTTGCTCCGGGAGCATGAACATGTTTTTCGATTAAGCTCATCGAGATCTATATTTCAGAATTTTTTGTCAACTCTAACAAAAGCTCAATTTTTGAAAACTAAATAAATTTTCACTTTTCTTAGCATTTCCAAAAATTACCGAAAGTCATTCTTTTATTTATTTCAATCTTCAGATGTTGTTTTTGGTTTTATTTGATCGAAAATTTGTAAAATTTTTCTAGAATCGTCAAAAGAAATAGGAGTATAATTTTTGAGAAATTTTAAAAATTCGACTTGGAAACCGAATAGCAGCAAGACCTTATGTTTTTTGACTAAACTCGTCGAGATCTACATCTCAGAATTTTTTGTCTATTTTTTGTCCATTTCAATAAAAGCTCAATTTTTAGAAAATCCATATAATATTTTTGACCTTTCTCAAGTACCTACATAGTAGGCTATGGAATAAAATGTGACATGTTCATTTTTTTATACGGTCAACATCAACGGTAAGGTGATATTGCCAAATAATATACCCTGTACGAAAATAAAGGTGGGGCGGGTGGGGCCAGTTAATATGCTTCGGCAATCGGCATTATATTGAAATTTTATTACTAATTTGAAATTTATAATGTATAAGTCTTCCAGGGGGGGCAACCACAACTGCTAGAGGGGCTCAGCCTCCTCTTGCCCCCCCGTAGCTACGGGGCTGTAGTAGATTACGGAAAAAAAACAATTTTGGCAAATGAAATACCCTAAAACAAAAGAGAGGGTGGGTGGGCGGGGCGAGTAGAGTTAGAACAGATATTAGGGTTCACGATATTTGGATAGCAGTAGATGAAACTACAAATTCTAATGGGCAATACGTTGCATACATTGCAGTGGGAAAATTATCTGTAGAGGTAGCTGGTACACCACATTTATTGGCATCGAAAATATTGGAAAAAGCCAATAATGTAATAGTGTCACGTTTTATCGATGAGTGGTTAATTGTCGTTCTATTAATTATTATTAAAAAGATCATATTTCTCGGATCGATTTAATTAACCATTTTAAAACGTTTGCAATCGGTTTTTCAACAACAAAGTTAAATCGTAAAATGTTATAGTTTTGATTTTTTTTCCAACAATTTTAGCATTTTAAATAGATAAGACTGATTTTGGCACTTTTGACATTTTCGACCATTTTTCAACCAGAAGTGATTTTCGGCTTCGTTTCATCGAAAATTCCCACCGTTTTTGCAAAATCGCCAATTGAAATACGGTTATTTTTGAAGTTCCGTCAAAATCGCCTGGTATAAATTTTTTAGGGCGGGTGGGCGGGGTTAATATTTGATAAGATAAGAGTGATTTTGGCATTTTTGACATATTCGATCATTTTTCAACTATTTCCGAAAATTAGTTGAAGACATTTTCTTGTAGATTTCTATGTCCAGAAGTCATTTTCGGTTTCTATTATTAAT